ACTTTCCTTGAGACCCATGCAATGGAGATACTTGGGTCCTCCCAGGCAAATAGTGGCACCACTGTCTGGGAAGATTTTCAACTGAGTGCTTTGATTACCTGGAATATCTTCATGTTTTCTGGAATCTGGCTTTGGAGAAATTGAGGCAAAAGATAATCTATGAACCATGGGGTTTGATTTTTGTGTGACTAATGCCTCCAACATGTCCATGAGTCTATTTGGTTTTTCAGAGAAAAATTTGGGGTATGTGTTTATGATTGATGTTTGGACAGTCTCATCAGCACAGTTGTATAATTGGATGTTGGTCTGTGCAGGGGGGCATGTTTGTCATTCGTACAAATACCTCCCAGTCAATTCTGAACTTTCGGAATTGCTTAGATGTCATCTCTGTATGAAGCTGGGTGAGTTTAACTGCAGGGGCCCTTTGTGTAGCTGTCAAATGTCAAAGGCTTCTCCTTTGCTAGTTTTAGGATAACTAGGGCATGTCCCATGGTTGTGTAGCTGTCTGATGTCAAAGGCTTCTCTTTTGTTAGTTTTAGGATGACTAGGGCATGTCCCATGGTTGTGACACCTAGCTCTTTGAGGATTTCCCAGTCTATCATAGAGAGGCTATCCTTGGTGATGCTTTCCTTCACAAAAGTTTCAGCATAAGTCCTGGCAGTCAGCTGGAATGCCAATTTTGATAAGAAGCTCTTGCCAATCATCGGATCCTGTTCACAGCGCCATATAGAATATTGGTTAGCTTGCAAGTGGTCTGACATACAAGTAGACTGGTGTAGCCACTACAAGTTGAATCTAGCCTTGAGTCATTTAATGGAGAGATATATGGGTGAATAGTCATTTGACTTCTACAATTACCTATGTCTTGACATGGAACATGGTATAGAGAACAACAACTATGGACCTAACCATTTTAAAATGTGATAAAAAATAAATGGATGCCCTTCTATAAATTTCCTAAAAGAAGGTTATTATTTATATAAAGAAAAAGTAAATTAGCCAAAAGATCCATTTCCCATATTTGAAACAACATTGTATCCTTTGCAGGAAAGGATGATAGATATTAATGCCCAGAAACCTTTTACTTTTAAATGTACACACCCAGGCTTTTAACTTTCAAGACAAATGCTGTCATCAGCAGTGTTAGAAATCAACAGACATTGTAATTTGAGTCAAATGAATTCCTTTTCCACATGTGTGTATTATTTTTTTCTTACAATTTTCATTCTGAGACATTAGAAATGGGTTTTGAGATCTTAGAAAGAACACCATTTTTCAAAATAATATGACAAGTAAAACTAGAATAAAATAAATGAAAGCCATTAAACTTAAATTTAGGAAAACTTTCTAAATTCTAATTTTAACCTTTTAATAAATCTTCACCTTGTCAGATTTTTTTCTGTTATTAATACCAAAGAATTAAGTGTCAAATAATTTATAGCTTATATGGCATAACAGAATTCATGCAACATATTTATCAGATAAACTAAGTGTTAGTTTTTGTTTATTTGTTTTTCTTTTTAGATCATTAAGTTGCAGACTTAAAGATATACCTTGGGGTAAAAAGTGTCTATCAAATAAAGTCTGTAAACCAGTTTGATGATGACCTCATTCATTTACATTTGTGGAGCTGCAGAATTTGCTGAAAGGTTTAACAGCAGGGAAAATTAAATCAGCCAACAATGGAAATTCCATCTGATAGTGGTGGTGTTCAATTCACACAAATATCCTTGAGAAAAGCATGAATTCATTTCTCCCAGGTGAGAAGTCATGAAGTGCTACTTGTACCCTACAACTCGGTAAAACCTGTCACATGTTACTTGAAATGGATATCTTTAGGATAATCCCTGCTGCCCAGAGAAAGGTCATGAAGGACCCAACATAGTACTGTAACAATCTACCAGCTTAGGGAATAATTTAATCATGTATGTTATAATTGGCCAGCACAAATACATGTTATGTTGAGTGATTATGGCCCGTGGTCAGGGTATATCTGCAAAAACTTAACCAATAAATAGAAATTTTTCATTAGTAGCCATTTCAATTTCTTTTTAAGTCTTTACTTTTTGGTCAAGGCCTAATCTTGCCTTAATTGACCAAGCCAGAAAAACCTTGTATTAGCAGGATTTTGTATTTATGATCAAATTGGTTGCATTAGCATTGCTTTTTCTTTCTTTGTTGCTTTTTCTTTTTTTCCTGACTTCACACCTGTGATCAGATTTGTAATCTTCATTGCTATGTGCAGGTGTTTTTCTTAAATTTTATCCTTCCCTGTATTTTTTATTTATTTATTTATTTTTTTTTTTTTGTCAGTTGCTACAATGTCTTTATCTCAACATCTGCTTACTAAATTAAAGAATCTGTATCATGAACATGCAGAATATAAATAAAAAAATATAAACACAAAACTGCTTTAAATCTTAATATTTTGTTCAAATCCTTTCCTATGTAATTCAACAGTTAACATTGTTCTGATTTGATAATTTAAATCAATCTTGATTTATTCATTTATTGTTTTAAATGCCTGTGTAGGGAAAATTTTTAAATAATTTGCTTTAAATGTTTTAACCCAATAAATTTTCCAAACAAATTCTATTTATTTCTATAGTTGAACTTGTACTTGAATTTAAAAAATTAACCTCTAAGTAAATCTACACAAGAACAAAAAAATCTATTCTTACATAAAACCTATAAACAATATAAAAATGATTAATCAGTTACACTTAATATATTATGACAAAGTTCTGTAAGTTCTAGATTCTACCACCTTCCTACAGTCTGTTAAAATAGACATTTTCTTTTCTCTTTCTTTGTGTGTGTGTCATGGTAGGTGTTATGATCCCTTTATAAGAACTTTTCAGCAACCCTAATTATTCATTTAAACATTATATTACATTGCATTTTCCAGTAGTATTTACCTTTGTCATTCTCTGAATTATAAAAGTGTCAATATAGTATATTATGATACATCTGGAGATCTTTATTAAAGAAACTATCTTTTCAGAAGTCTGCTATAGATACATGTGTGTGTGTATATATATATATATATATATATATATATATATATATATATATATATATAATATATGTGTGTGTGTGTGTATATATATATATATATATATATATATATATAAATTTCCATGCATATCTCAATTTGGGATTATATTTTGAAAGGTAACAAGTGGCTTATAACTTTCGCATGCCTAATTTTCAGTATCATGTGGTTCATTTTTTTTTTTTTTTTTTATCTGATTTTCTGGGATGAAATCAGGCATGGCTGATCATGTATGGAGGGAAAAGTGTAGTCATCATCTCCTGTGGAATGAAGTAAAAATAGTGGACAAGGAAGGACCCTAAAGAGTTAGACATTTCAAAAAAATCAGTGCACTTCCTTAGTAGGCCTAGCATAGAAATAAATATTATATGGGAGCCGCTAATAAAGAAAGATGAATAATGGCAAAACTTCAACAGCAGCAGATGTAATAAAATAGAAGAAACTTCAGAGAGTGCAGATAAGCAGCAGGAAGGTTAGGTCTAAGGCTCCAAGTTATCCACAGTGAACTTTTTTCCATGGAACAATAGTAATTGTGAGTGCAATCTCTGGGCTGTATGTACTTGAATTCACTGGAAATAGGGTGATCATTAACTAAGTAGTACTAAAAATGCAAACTAGATGAGATATACCTAGATATGGACAGTGGAACATGAACAGTCTACCCCGATAGATTAAATAAAAGGTTCTGTTTGGAATTCCCTGTTACCTAATCAACATACAATTGATCAAGACTGGAAGGCACAATGGCTGAAACAACAATTAAGATTAGGACAATAGTCCGCATATAAATAGTATAAATATGTTCAGTTCTTTATCTCTGCCTTGTACTGTGTTCATGTGATTACGCTTTGCATGTTCACATACTGCTGCTGAAAATACATTTTTGAATACTTACAGCTCCTAATAAAAATGAATCAAATTGATATTTTTTTTTTTTTCATTTCTTTTATACATATATGTATATATAATACACACTTTGTAATTTTCTCTCAAAGTTTGTCATGACCTTTCAGTTTTAAACTTAATGAATCCACAGTACCCTTGAGTCCAACTGACATCACAGCTGGATTGTAATATGCTTTTCTTGAATATTTCAGTACTGACATTCTTATGATCTTTTTGCATTGATCTATGAAGTGAAATAATATTTAAGTTTTAACCTTTTAGTGTTCAACAGGCTCAAACCCACTTCTGTAAATATCAGTGGTCAAAGTCTGTGTTTACATGACATCTTGTGATGATGTCATATATTATGGCAGAGTATACATGGGGCAGGTTATGACCAGTTGAACAATGAAAGCCAATATGTACTGGGTATATTTGGGCAGATTGAATGTTAAAGGGTTAAATCGGTTTTCTCAGCATTTCCTATGTTTGTCTCCAACACTAGATAACATTATTAAGAATTATTTGATAATCCCTTGCTACTGTTTGAAATTTTATTACACATGACCTGACCACTTTAAAGTTACTAAATATAGCTTACAGAATAAAGGCTCATCCATATATACTTAAAAAATACTTTAACCTGTAAATTTGATAGCATAAAGTGATATTTTAAAACCCATTTTGTTTTTGGTTTGGTTTTTGTATATATCTGTTTTTAGTTTTTATTTTCTTTAAATCTTAAATGTATTTGCTTTTAATGATCTTTAAGAACAAATAAAACTTTGCTATAATGCTGGATATTTCTAAAAATGTCAAATATAATGAATAAATGTTACAAATATGAATTAATATACCCCTAGAATGTATGGCAGAATGAGAAGTCTACTACCATGAATTGAATAATATTTCAAGAATAGCCAGATAGTAACAACCAATAGAATTGTGAATGTGTAATTGATAAGCACACAAAAAGTTAACATTTTTTAATTGTGTTATAAGAAAAAAAAAATTTTTCATTGTTAATGCAATTGTATTTTTTTCTTTTTATATTTTGTAGCATCCAAGCAATGCTGCTGATTGTGGAATGCAAGTACAAATTGCTTGAACAACGAAGCCAAATTGTTAAGAATTACAAAGCACATAAACGAAAACCTGATGAAGAATCTCTTGTGATTGATAGCAGTGATATTATTACAGCAAAGGTAACTCCTCTTATTGTTGAATGCAATGAGGATAAATTCCTGGATTGTGACAGTGATGAGGCAAACAATTCTACTGAGGGTCAACAAAATGTGTTGAAGGTATCTACATCCTGTCCTCTACTGCATGAGACTTAGCAAGGAGCAGTTGTGTATATAGCATGCAGCATATACTGCACTAGCTTTTTGCTTCTTGGATAAGTTAACAAATGTAGTTCATTTATCCCAAATGCTTTCTTTTATTTACTAACCACAAAAGAGGAAGTGTATATTTTGGTTTGCATTGTTGCTGGAATAATTATATTTTCATCTAGTTCCAGTAATTGGTGTTTGAATCCAGGTAAAAAAAAAAAAAAAAAAAGTATGAATTTTCAAATGTCGAAACAGGCAGGTTCTTACTTTGAAAATTGCCAAAACACAATCTTCCCACCTTCATTTTTCCAGTAATTTAAACCTGTACCAGTAAACATCAGGTGTACACTTTGTAGGATTCTGTAAGTCATTATTTTTATTGTCGTTTTTAAAATAATATATGTAAATCTAACAAAATACCTATACTATAACTCCAAATGCATTCTGAATTCTGTAGACTGGTGAAATTAAATAGATTTGCCTGAAAATCATTACTAATTTTATCTTAGTATTCCCCATGGATTCTGAATAATACAATTAATAACACAAAATTAGTAAAATTCATAAATAAATTAGACCATGTGCTGTATCACATATAAATTGTGATGCAAATATATCTATAGAAATGTATTTAGAGTGATGTGTAAGGATGTTATTGGATTGGAACTAAATTTCATAGTGGTTTGTTTTTAATTCAGTTTCAAAGGCAATATTTAGATATTTGTACATAGATTTGTTCAGTTACAGATGTACCATTTTGTTCTACCATTTACATGATTCCATTCTCTCAGAACTTGGTATCTTTCTGAGTGATGAATTGGTCTCAGTCATTTTTACAAGTTTCCAGAGAATTTAGTTTTTTTTTGTTTTTTTTTTTTTAACAGAATTTTCTAGGGATTGAAAAAAGTCATAATCTAAAGGTGTAAGATCAGTATGATGGGTGTAGAACATCCTAGCCAAGCTGAACTACTTTCTACTAGATCTACAAAACATGAGGTCTGCTGTTACCCTGATAGATATTACACTCTCTAAATTGGTCAATTTCAGATGCTTTTCATCAATTGCCACCTTTTTAATTGGTCCAATTGGGAACAGTAATTGTTTGAATTTAATGTTACAGAAGAAGTTTGTAATACATAATGCCCTTTCAATCCCACTCATTACACAGCATCACTTTCTTTGTATTCACTATCCATTTGTGATTGCCTGTGATTATTCTTTTCAAAAATGGGATGTTTTTGTTGTTTGAGTAAAGAATTGCAGATAGAAATGTGGTTCATTTACCTTTTTTATGTGGAGTATCTTGTGTGACCTGGAATATTTTTACCTTGCATTTTGAGTTAGGCATCAATGACAACTGCAGACTTGCCATAATATTCTTGGTCTTCCAGATCAAAATTTTCACTTCTGAACCTAGCAAACCACTTACAGAATTCTTACCTATGAGACATTATCTTTTTTTCCTTTCTGGAAATAAAAGAGCATCAAAATGCATCTCCTTTTCCTCCATTTTCACATTAACTTAAAAGCATTTAAAATTCACAATCCACACACAAATTCTATAGAAAGATATGTCAAAATATCACCTTTCAGAATACGTATATATGTTACAAATTTCAGTGACATGTGAAGCAGAATCATATGTTCAAATGCCACCTATTGAAAAACATTGCAAACTTTTGTTCCAACCCAATCATTTCATAACACTGGGAAACCAGTCCAGGATGGACTTGATGATTTATCATTTTTACATTGCACAAGCAATTAAAATACTTTATGGCACTGTTAAGCACAAATTCTCTTTCTGTCATATATATGGTTGTATCAAAAGTATTTTCATTTATTAATCAATTCTTTATTATATGATTAGGAAACAAAATAAACATTCAAAATCAAGATACAATTCATAAGTTCTGTTTGATTCCCTGGTAGAAATTTTTTTTTTTAGTTGAGACCAAAAAAAAAAAAAACATGGTATCCATGTTCAAGGACTTGAAAATATACAAAACTTCATTTATGGAAAAATGAATGCCTTACAAAGGGACATATTATAGTTTGGAATAATAAAATCTGAACTATATGATGAGTGGGGGGAAAAAAACTTTTCTTTGAGATTTTAGCCTATAGTGAGTCATCATACAAGTATGAGGTGAAACATTATCATATTGCAGGAGAGCTCTTATTCTATTGATTCAAAGTATGGTATTTTTTTTCTTCAATGAGGCATACATTCTGTCCAGTTATTCAGTCTGAGTTAGTGCCAGATAGTCGAGCCATTATTTCAAAGTGGATTATTTGCTTGAAATTACACCAAACTTTTTTTTTTTTTTTTTTTTTCACAAATCTTCATTATTTTTATCCTGTGTTTTGCAGATTGTTTACAATCCTGTCATTATTTGTGATTGCTTGTGTTCTTATCACATTCATTATATGTTTGAAAAAGAATGTCTATTCAATGGATTTTCAAGATGTTTTGCAAATATCCACTTGATGCAGTGCTTGTAATTCTGAGAATTCATGGGACAGATCTCAATAGCTCCTGTTAATTTCTTGAAGCTATTGAAATACTCTGCTTATTGTATTAGCTCTTCTAAAACTTTTTGAGTATTGGTATTTGGGTTGTCCTTCATCTTGCATTTTTAAAGTATCATAATCAGCAACTGATCATTGACCACTTCTAGGCTTTATTTCAAGAGATAAGTTGTCAGCCTTAAAATGCTTAAATCAGTTTTGGGCAGAACAATCAGATATAGTTTCATTCCCTTCCACTTCTCAAATTCTGCAAACAGATTCAGTGCCTTGAAAGCCCATTTTCAAATAACGGCTTAATTCCATAATCTTGATACTTGTATCCACACCTGAAACAAAAGGTATAGCTGAATCATATATTGTAATTTTTCTTGTTCCTCTGTTAGTAAGTTAGCATCTGTTTTATGTCTTGCTATTACCTGAGATAAGTAATGGATCATTTCATTTTGATTTCAAGGAATGATGAAAGAAATATATCACACTGTTTGGTTTTTGTGAGAAAAGGAAAGTATACATAAGGAAGAAAGCAAGGGGATATGCTTTCATGTATTTAATGTCTGCTTCTAAGAAATAGAAAAACCTTGTTATTTTTTAATCTTTTCATTTGTACCCTCTTACTTCTTTAAATAATGACTTGCATTCATACTTATGATTGTTATTGCCATATTTTTAAAAGTTAAGCTCAAACATTTAATCATTCGATATGGGAAGTTCCACGTAATGTTATAGTCCTAGAAGTCACAAAGAGTTTTTTCTCATGAATTATAATTCGTTATAAAATTCATATAGGAAAACTGAAAATTGCTAATAATATAGTGAAATCAGTCTTTCAATATGTACATGAAATAATCATTAAAAAATGAAAATCCTTTTGATACATCATAATATTGCTTTTTTAACTTAATTTTAATTAAGATTTAATTTAAATCCCTACATATAATCACTCTAGATTTTATCATTTTTTTTTTTTTTTATTTAAATGCAACTCATCTTGCTTGTAAAAGAGGGTCAAAATTCTGAAAATAACTTTTATAGGATTGATTTAACCCTTTAGCATGCAACTCGTCCCATAAATATTGGCTCTCAATTTTCAACATGCCTTGACCTGCCCCATATATACTCTGCCATAATATATAACAACAAAATTGAAAATAACACAGGAAGTTACGCAAACGGTGAGACTTTGAAAGCCAATATTTACAGGGTGGGTTTGAGCATGTTGAATGTTAAGACTTAATAAAACTAAACATTTTCTCTATCAAATTTTTTTGATAGAATATTTTATTAACATATCTTTTTGTAAATGAGTTGTGAAGAATATTATTGTTTTTAATCATTTCATTAACCAATTGTTATGCATAAATTGTTGTTTTGATATTCATGATTTGTTTTTTTATTCACAAATTCCTTAACTCATGTACTTTCCTTTTATTAGCTTAAAATATCTTAATAGTTCTATTTTTAATTTAAATATTTAATTATATTTGATTGCTGTTAAATTTTTTTTTTGAGTTAAGCAGTCTTGATAAATTTTATTTGTCAAATGATTAACAAATAACTGAAATGTCTGTCCTCACTTTGCCTTCTTTTGACTAATAAACATTGATTGTTTTACTAAATAAACTAACCAGATATTCAAATTGAATATCAATTTTTTCCTCCATTCTAAGCTTTTAGAATATCCACCCAGTTGTAAACAATAGTTCTTTTGTAAAATACTTACCTTCTTTTCTAAATTTATGTTATGCATTTATGTAAAAGTTTAACCATAATTATCATTTTATTATAATAAAGACATTTTGGTGTAAAGATTTAAATTTATTTTTTTCTCTATGCACCTGATTTACAGAAAATAGGTGTGCACATTTTCTTGAAAGACTTTTCCTATGGTTCTTGGTATCAAAAAATATATCAAATTTTCTTTCTCCATTTTATTTACTTAACTGCCAAGGATCTCTTTAATATATCACTGCCATATCTTTAGAGATTACATAACAAATTTTTTCACTTATGTTTTTCAACAAAAGTGAAACATCATTATTTTTTTTATTTTTTTTTTTTAAATAAAATTCTATTATGCCTGGATTAGATTAAAAATGTCTCTACAATTTTAGTTGAAATATTGTATTTTCTGTCATAGAATGTATTTTTCTCCCTCTTAAAAAAAAAAAAAAAAAAAAAATCACCCTTTGTTTTATACCCTCAAAATATAGATAATTGGTACTATACTAATCCATAAACACACCTGTTTGACATATTAGTCTCTTGATGTTTCCATAAATATATGAGAAAGAGTGTGGACATAGACATTAACACTGCATGGTGACTGTCAGTTTCATGCTTTAAGTGGTCATCAACCATCAGGCCACTGATCACTTGAGGCATAAAACAGACCATTCTGCACAATTGATTTCTATGACCATACTGTCTATATCTATAAA